CCCCAGGACCACTGAGATTCTGTCCCCCACTCTCCTCCCCTTCCAGGCCATTGTTAAGTACAGAACTCTGGTGGCCTGGGGCACAGATGGAAGTGCTCCCAAAGCCTGGAATGTCCTTGAAGTCTTGACCTTTACCTAAAACCTGTATAAAACGCATCCTCTTTCTGACTCTGTAGTGATCTTTGTTTTTGTATCATAGTAATTAGTAGTTTAGTTCCCACATTTTCAGATAAATCAACATGGCTTGTGTGTCCTGTGGCATACAGGCCCTGCCACACTGCCACAGGCTCTGCTCACTCTGCCAGGCCACCCCAGCTCAATCTGAGGAGCTGCTAGTATCAGGTGCCATGTCCCCAAGGCAGCTCTCTAAGGGGCTGGGGCTGAGAGGGCAGCCTGAGGGACTCCCTGACAGCCTCTTCCTCCAGGGCGCCCTCATTGGGCCATAAAGCACCACCACCCCCTGGGCAGTATGCATGACACGCTACTGTCTCCCCAGCTCTTGGGCTGGCATGTGCTCCCCCTCACAGAGGGAAGGCCTGGTCACTTGCTTGTCTGCTGATGAGTGCCAATCAAGACAGAACAGGAATTCAAGACGCTCCACTCGGGTTCACCAAGTCACCCTGTTAATAACTCCATTTTGCCAAAATGTTCCCGTGTGCCAGATGTCCTCCAGGTAGGCACTGTTAGAATTCCTGTTTTTCCTGAAGAGGACACTGAAGCTCAGAAATGCTAAGGAACTGGCCTAAGGAAGGGCACCCGGCTGACCACTGACTGAGCCAGGACTTGAACCCAGCTCCTGGAGCATGAAACCGTCTGTGCTGTACTGGATAGAGAGGTAGAAGTCTCTCACGTTCCTCACAGGACCTAGTTTGTGATGAAGAGAAGACCCTGAAGCCCTGCTCCCCAACCTCTACTCTCCTGAGGCCCTGCCCCCTTTGCTAGGAGAAACGGGGCCCACGACATGCTGGACACATGGTCTAGAAACTCAAGCATGTGTTGGCCCCTTGGTTCAAGATTCAAATTGTAACAGGTCTTGGAACATCCCCTGTGTGAAGGATGGGCTCTCCTGATGCCCCCAGTAGACTCAGAGCAAATCAGCCCCATCATACTGTATTAGTCCACACACTATTTCTCCTTCTGGGTCTCACAATTTTACTTTGTTTGGATAAAGGAAGCCAAGAATGCAGGAAGCAAAACCAACAAAAAACCGCAAAACTTAGTCAATTGCTGAGCAAGACAAAATTCAACAGGCCTAAAAGACAAACTACAACAACCACAGAGTACAACCACCAAGCATTACTTCTTTCTTTTGCAGGGTACATACAACATTGCCCTCTGCTGTCTGTTCTCGGTATTACCACAGCTCTCTGGCTGTAGGTGAAGTCCTCCCTCCTGGCTTCCCCAACCTCCCCCAACCTGAAGTGTTGCACATATCCAGGGAGCACTCGTTACACCACCATCCTGATGTGGTGCAAAACATCACAGAAAATACAAATGGAGGAGGCTGGGGGGTTGCGAAGCAGTGCACTGCCCCACATCACGGGGTCCAGGAGCTGGATGCACAGCGCTGACAGTGAGGCCAGGGAGTCCTGCACTGCCTTTGAACAGAGCTACGTGGCAGCTCCTGGAAAACAGTTATTTTCTTTTCTCTGCTTCTTCAAGGAGAATGAAGAAGGGATTCTCTGGCTCTGACCTGTGTCTTCCAAACTCCACAGATGAGAGCATTCTGAAGTCTGATGGGCAAACTCAAGAGCATGGCACTTGGTCTCTCCTCAGCCTGCCTCTCTCTCTCTCTCCCTCCCCCCTCTCTGTCTCTCTCTCTCCCTCTCTCCCTTCCTCCCTCCTTCCCTCCCCCCCCCCAGCTGCAGCTGAGTGTGAAGTGTTCCCAGCACTGCCTGCCCTCCTGCCTGCCCTGTTCTCCCCGCAACCCCCTGCACATGTGCTGTCTGAGAGCTGGTACCGGGTGATATTCCGTTAGCCACCAGGAGACCCAGCTGCTCCTGGACTCCCAGTGGGCAGCAGGTCCTAAAATCCCTGCTGATGGGAGGTGACCCCACATCACCCTGGACAACCTGCTCCCTCATAGCCTTTACCTAGGTCAGGACAGAGTCGTGACTCCTGTATCAAACAGCCACAGTCCAAACAGCTGGGTGGGGGCTACAAATCCAGATGTCCTCCCAGGGACCTTGGGCGTCTTCACCTCTGTTTGTTCCTCCATTTGGCAGGCGACAGAATCGCCGAAGGCTTCTGACCCTGGTCCTTCCACAGAGCGGCCCATTGCAGAGCCAAAAGATTCAGCACCAGAGCTGTGGCCAGCTCCCCGCCTGACAACTCTGACTTAGCATGAAGTGGGGGACCAGCGAGAACAAGGATACTTGCTGCTACCTATCGGGCTGTGCATTTCCCAGGCAGTCTGAAGACCCCCAGCTCACAAGATACCGAGAAAAAAACTGGTCACCAAAGCCCTTGTAAATCCATTGCATAATTTTACTCCTGGTGACAGACTGCAAGTAAGGGCCATTGCTTCCAGCCGACATGGAAGATGATACAGAGAGGTGAAAGCAACAGGAGCCCAGACTGAGTCGCCCATGAGAAAACAGAGGAGGTGAGGCCTGCACAGGGCTCGCGCTGCCGAGAAGCCAGGCTCTGAGTAGCCACAGGAGGGTGGGCAGCCCTAGGAAGAGTAGTGTCCATCCCCCAAAGGGGAAATAACCAGGGCCAGGGGTTGGGAAAGCACTGGGGAAGGGGCACTGGTATGATTTGAGCTAGATATCCCCCTAAAGCCTCATGTGGTCAGAAGACTTTTTCGGAGGTGGCTGGAGCTAGAGCTTGTAACGCTGGGATTAAGGGCATGTGACCAGTGAGTCAGTGGACACCAGTTCCATCTCAGTTACTTTTCTCCTTGATGAAACAGACACCACGGGAAGCAGTGGTGGCGGGAGGCTGGGAGGAAGCGGGGGCAGCAGGCTGTGGTGGTACAAAAGCAGTGGGAATCCTCTGCGGACCAAGCAACCCCGAGGCGGGGGCTGGCATGTGGGCCAGGGCCTGGGCCGTGAGGAGTGAAGGCAGTGGGCCACCAGGAGGAAAGCGAGGGTGCCAGCAGGCCTGGAAGGGATCCACGCCAGGGCCATGACATAGGGAGGCCCAGGAGGCAGGTGTCAGGCACCGGCCTATGGTCCCACTGTTAAGCCCACTATGGCGTTCCCGTCTCTGCCCACACTCTGGACCCCTTCTGGGTCTAGAGAGACCCTCTTTTCCTAGCATTACCTCTCCCTCACCCAACCCTACCCTTTCCTAAAACCAGAGCCAGCAGCAGGGTCCAGAAGCCAGGCAGAGCCCTGAGCTCACATTAAGGGCTCCAGGTCACTTTCTGGTGGGGACACCCAGCTGGCCTCTCCCTGTACCTCATGGGTTGCCCTGTCCTCCCAGGCCAGGCCAGCCAGAGTCCCTGTGGGCACTGGCAGCTGACCCAGGGACATCTCAGTACCTACCTTACCTCTGTCCCTAGATGGGCAGAAAAATGCGGCTTCTTCCCTCCCTGCTGGAGCTCACCTCAGCTCTCTGAAGGTACAGGGACACCCTGGAGGATGCTGCCCTGACCACAGAGGCAGCGGCAGCCCCGATCCCTCCCCTACTTAGGTGCACATTTATGGCCGAGTGGAATTCACCCCGTTCAGGGGCCCGAAAGGGCCACCATAGTGCTTGGCAGTGGGGTGGACAGTAAGCCGAGGGGAGCACTCATCACCCCAAGAAAAGATGCACATAGTGGGAAGGAAACTGCAAATGCCAAGCAGTGAGAGTCAGAGGTGGAGAAGGCGAAAAGGAAGACTGAGCAAAAGGGGGGCCACACGCAAAAAGCTGCGGGAAGAGCCAAGGCCTGCCCTAACCCTGAACCAAGCTGGACTAGCTGGGTGTGCCCACATTAGCCACCACCTGCCCTGCCTTGTAGCACACACATGAGAAACACGTGCACACCACATACACAAGCATTCACACACACATGTGCATGCACAAGGAGACCAAAATGTAATGATGACAATGTGCACAATATTCTGCACACAGCTAGGAGGTGGTCTCTATGGTCACCATAGAGGAACCATAACAAGATCTTCGGCTTACAGTCCACGAAGGAAGTTCGAGAACCCTAAGAACCTGATCTCCCGTGCTCCCTGCTGCCCATCCCTTGGGAGGACAGGAAACCGTGTCTTGTAGCCTCATCCTGGTTTCTCTCAGGTCCCTCTCCCAATCCCCAGAGACATCTCTTCAGGGGCACAATGCCACTGACTGGCAACACCTCCCCCGTCCTGGCTTTGCTGTGGCTGCTGCTCTGAGCTGGCTAAGGCACCGGCCTCCATATCAGGCCCTGGGAGAGAAGAAATTCTAGGAGGTGCCCTGACCCCAAAGCCCAGGACCATCTTAAGAGATAGCACTTAGGTGACAGATACTTCCCTAAGAACATCATATAAGCTCACCCAGTCGGAGCTAATTACAACCCTGTGAATTAAGGACTAGCATTAGTAGACCCATTTGAGAGAGAAACAAACTGAAGCACAGAAAAATTACATAATCACCCAAGCATGCAGAGCCAAAAAGCGAGCTCAAATCCAGGCAGGGCCTGGGCTCTCAGTCATCACACAAAAAGCCTCTTCATCCTATTTCCATGATACTGACCGGGCAGGAAGCAACTCTGCCAAGCCTCGGGGGCCCTCCAAGCAGCCTGGGAAACATAGCCATAGAGGGTCCCCGGCAGTAAGGTGTGAACTCAAAGCACCGCAGTGGAAGTCTCTGGCATGACATGGTCAAGGGCCCCGAGACCCCAACTCACCAAGCAGAAAGAGCAATTCTGGAAGAAGCTCACCTGGAAGCTGCCCTGGTCCTCGCCCTCTGCCTCTCCCCACTCTGTGTCCCCTGCTCAGCTCTCAAGGGGACCTCAGAGCATCCTCTCACCACCAGGATTCACCTGTCCCACCCCCCAGAGGAGCCCGGGCCATCCCACTCACTTGAAGAAATCCTCTTTGCAGTAGACGCTCCCGGCTCTGGAGAAGCACCTGTCAGCCAGCTGCATCTGGCAGTCTGCACACTTGAGGCAGGAGCTGTGCCAGTGTCTGTCCAGGACCTTCAGGATGAACTTGTCCAGGATATGCTGGTTGCAGCCAGCACACTGGGGGATCTCTGTGGGGAGAGGAGAGAGGTGGCATGAGTCCTTCCACAGCTGCTGACCAGACCTGGCTGGGGACTACCTTCCCACCATGCCTGTGGTGGGAGCGAACATGACCCAAGTGCCCAGGGCTGCTGCATTTTCAGGCCTGGGTGGAAGCTGTGCTAAAAACATCAGGCCCTGAGTGAACCCTGCCTTACCACAGACAGAAGCCATCTGGCCTGAAAAGTGAATGATTTGGGGTGCTGACCCAGGTCCAGGCCTGAGGGCGCTTCTACAGAGGGAATCTCAGCATTTCCTTGAATTTCAACAGGTAGCATGGACTAGATCCATCAGTAATCCTACCTGAACTGTGTGTGGTGCTGCACATCTGTAATCCCAGCACTCAGGAGACTGAGGCAGAAGGATTGCTGAGTTCAAGGCCAGCCTGGGTTACATAGTGAGTTCAAAGCCAGCCTGAACCACATAATGAGACCCTGCCTCGAAAAAACAAAACAAAAAATAAAGCCTTCTTGATGTCCCTTCCTGGGCCACAGACAAGAAAGCTGTATGTTGATATCCCAGGTTCCCTTGCAGTTCAGGTTCTGAATGTGACGCTCTTAGGAAGCCCTGCAATCAGAACCGGGTTAAAGGCAAGGACAGCTGAAGGAAAAGCAGGCTCTTTTTGTACTGCAGTAGATCACAGCAGAGGCAATGAAATTTTGGAGGCTGGGAGTTATTCCTGGAAGCTCTGTCTCAGCTTGGCTCCGCTGACTTAAAAGTTACCCAATACTGTACATGGTAATGGATAATTTTCCACTTCAATAGTGAGAACGGATTCTGCTGTCATCGAATGATCCAACATCTACAGAATGGCCAGGCCTCCGTGCTTGGGCGAGTGATGTAGTGCTTCTAGCCATGCCTCCCTGCCTCCCCCCACCCCGCCCCCACGGGGGAAGGTAACAAATGCTAAGACCAACATCGTAAAAGTGCCAGCACTAGGCCACCTGTAGTTTCCTCCTAACAGCACTCACAAGGCCTGCAACCCTGGGCTTTTCACCTCTGTCATAAACAGTGTCTGGGCGGCTGGGGCAGGGGATCTTGAGTTTCAGCACAACCTGGACAATTTAATGACTTAACAAGACCCAATCTCAGGACCAGGGAGATAGCTCAGTACAATAAGCACTTGCCTGGCAAGCCCAAGGCCCTGAGTTCAATCCCTGGTACCGCCAAAAAAAAAAAAAAGTAAGACTCAATCTCAAAGTAAATTTTAAAAAAAGGGCTGGGGATGTAGCTAGTGAGAAGACCTGAGACTCAACCCCAGTACATCCCCCACAGTGAAGCACTTTTGCCAACTGCTGTCTGTATACATCTTTCCCACTAGAAGGGAGTCCTAAGGAGGAGGAGCAACATTTCTTCCTCACCTGGCTTGCAAGGGTAGCTCCACGGATACTAATCAGTGGGTATCACTGACCACGTTCTCATTGAGAGGCTCCCTTGAAACAGTTCTTCCTACTCCCGCCATGTCAACAAAAGTACTAAAACCCAAATCTCCTGGGAATCACACGGTCCTCCATTTATATTGTGTTTCTGGCTGGCATATCAACCCTAAACTGTTAGCATGACAGAATTATCCTCAAAGCACTGGGGAAACAAACATATCAAAATCAATCGAGAAAAAGTGTCCTTGCTTGAATTTAACACTTATCAAGTTCTGTGCTGGCCAGATAGCTCAGCGGACTAAAACTCCTGTTTAGGCAGAAGAGACTGGGTTTGATACCATGCCAGCCCCACCCCTGGGGCATGCTGAGACTGAGACTGAGACTGGGAGGCGGAAAATAGGAGGATCACTACAAGGCCGATCTGTGTAGTGAGACCCTGTAGACCTTGTACTAAATTTAAAAATAAATAAATAAATAAATAAATATAAATAAAAACTTATCAAGCTCTGAGGTGCCCAGCAAATGCTAAGCTCATATTGACCACAAGAATGTTGATTTAAAAAGAAGGTAAGAAGGGCTGAAGGCGAGCCCACAGACTCTGGAACCAGATGCCTGGGTCTGAGTCCTGGCTCTGCTTTTTCACTCTGGACAAGGCACTGGCTTGTTTCTGCTTCAGCTCCTCACTTACACAAAGATGATGACCTCATGCCTCATGGGCATACAGTGAGGAGTAAATGGTGGGACAGATTCTTAGCAGAGTCCAGGTACAGCAGGGACTCCATAAGGGTACCAATGGTTGGGAGACAGGCCTAGCTGCAGAAATGGCTGAAACGCACTCATGCACCCAGGCTTCATCCCACTGATCCCACATGAGAATACCCATCCCATGCTTGGCGATGCGTGCCTATAATCTCAGAACTCTGGGAAGCCGAGGCAAGAGGACCACAAGTTCGAATCCCACCTAAGCAATTTATCGAGACCCTGTCTTAAAAAATAAAATGAAATAGGCTGGAGATGTAGCTCAGCGGAAGGCCCTAGGGTCAGTTCCTCCAGGAAGGCCAGGAGGGGCTCAGAGAGTGGGTTTAAGAGTATGTTTGTCTGCCCCAGCAGCCACAGCCCTGGCCTCTCTGCAGGGACTGCTGGGACCAGTCCCCCTGGAGCTGAAGGGAAGGTCTGGGTGGAGAGGTGGCACTTGAACTGCCTGGTGAGGAGGCTGCAGGGAGGACAGCCAGGATAAGCCCAATCTCCAGCAGGGGAGCGCAGGGACAGCTCAGGTCAAGAGCGTCCCAAAGGGAAGGAAGTACGGGCTCTGTCAGAGCTGGAGCACTGCAGGCTGCTGAGTGCAAGGCCTGCATGAGGAAGAAGGGTTGGCTTGGTTCTGCAGGAGAGCAGAGGCAGACCTAGCCATGAGGCCCTCGCAGCTCAAGGGAGTAAGAGATGGACAAAAGGCACGGTGAGAACAGGGCCAGTCATGCACAGGTCACCATGCAGCCCCCACTCCACACAGAGGGCAGCTGCGCACACCCACAGCTGGCACCACTGGGCACTGCCTGGTGCTGAGTGCCATGTCAGCGGCTTCTCTGTGAAATGAAAGGAGGCAGACACTGCCCCAGGGTTGGCCAGGTACCCTTTGGTGGACTTGCAGAGCTGCCCTGGCCAGCCCTGGGCGGCAGAGGCAGAAGCCTGGGCCACCTCCCACAAGTTGCTGGCTCCTGGGTAAACAAGGGCTACAGTCCTACTCACTGTCATCTGGCCTTCCTCTGGGCAAGGATGAAGCTCTATTCGTTCTCCCAGCCACAAATGTATGGGATGAGGGCGAGGATGTGTGCCTATAAAATTTATTTCAAGCAAGGTATCAACTGGGAGGCTTAATATGATGATATTCAAAAGAGAATACATTAGGGCTAATGTATGCAGGGAACGGCAGCGGGCAGGGAGTTCCAGGCATGTGAGGCAGACATCACCCCAAGGAAGAATAGTAAAAGCAGACAAACACGATAGGGATGCTTCACGCTGGGCTGGGCTGGGCGGGGCATCCCCTCCTCACCAAGCTAAGCCATCCCTTGGGTTTGGCACACATGGAAGGGATACTAAGGAGGGTGACTTCAACATTTAAAAAAAAAGAAAAAAAAGCCTTTCCCACTCTATGCCAGTATCGATTGAGAGACCAAGGAAAAGAGAATTTTTGAAGCAAAGATAGTTTAGAAATGGCTTAAAAGATCCACACTACGCAACAATAGTGAAGCTGGGCACACAGACCCCACCATGAACTCTGCCAGGGCTTGCATGGACACTGGCTCACTGACTCACACCTCTTGGTGAGGAAGTGTCATCATCCCCCTCCGAGGATGAGGACACTGAGCCTGGAAGGGCTGGCCAGTGTGCGCTCAGGGTCACACGGGGGGAGGAGCAGGTGTGAATTAGCAGCCTGCACTGGGTCTTCCCTGAGCAGGTGAGAGACCCCAGCCACACACTGTGGCTGAGCCTTGACAGGGGAAATGGAGGCAGAAGTTCTCCTGGTGCTCTGTGCGCTCCCTAACAACTGGGCAGAGCTAAGGCCTAAGGCCTAAATTTAGGCTTCCTGCATAGAAAATACATGGATCATACAGCACAAACACCAGCCCCTGGGGGAGGGCTGTCAGTAGGAAGCCTCTATCCACAAGTCCCCTCCCCCACCTGCAAGGTGCCCCTGTAGAGGCATCTGTAAGCCCAGGCCCTTCCCTGCCCATGGGAGGGCGAGGACTCGTGAAACTCAGTCTCTAACTCTCAGGCCACAACACCTCCATGTGGTTACTAAGAAACGTATACAATCTAGATATGTTTCAGAACTGACAGCATAAGCCTTTTTTGTGTTGTAAAATACTATTATTGCTATTATTTTAAAACGTGGCAACCCTGAGCAGAAGTTATATAGATCTCCTATCAAAATGAAGTTGTAACCAAAATTTCCAAAAGACAAAATCTCCAAATCCTGAGTAAATTCATCTCATACAATAGTTAGTATCATGAAATTCCACTTTAAAAGCTGAAATTTATGCATATCCTTGGAGTCACTCAAGACAGAACTTGACGTATAAACTCAGTTCCCTATATAAGCAGTCATTTCATTTAAAATTGAAGTTTTTATTTTAGCTGTACATAAGTGTTTCGTAGTGATGTTCTCAGCTGGAGATCTGCAGACAGTAAACTCAGGCATGAAAAGAAAATGTCCTCACAACCTTCCAGGAGTCCACGGAGATGCTTAACCAGTGGTACAATGCACTCCCGGCCATCAGGGCCCGTCCCCAGGGCCTCCTGGGTCCTACAGAGTGACATGGCTCAGGGCACAGGCACACACATGGAGAGCACCTCCATGTGTGAACATGGACACTCTTGCTATCCATGTGACCCTCACAAACACACATATACACACAGACACATATAGTCACACACACATACATACAGACATACCTATACACAGAGAAGAATATATACAATTAGATGTACCTTGAGACCCATACATTCATAAACACACAAACCTTACCTGGCTGGATCATGTCAAGGGGGAAACTGAGACAGAAGTAGTCTCAAAGCTGCTCCATGTGCCATGCCTA